ATAAAGACCATCTACTGTATTTCCTGAGAAACTTCCCCGTCGCATATTTTAAAAGCTTCCCAGTTCCTCCCGACGCTTTCTGAGTTTCTGCTTTGACCAAAGGTTTTTGATCATTTCCTTTATTTGACCTGCTCATAATTCAGGAGGGAAATAAATCTCCTGGATCTGAGACTTGACCTGTTGACAAGTTTGTCGTGATACTGATTGTTTGAAAGAGCAATAAACACTTTCGGGACATTATCGGTGCAATAATACACTTTGTATTTTACCCATATTATCCAGATATATCGGTACGTTATCGGTATATAGTATTTATTCTGTACAGTTTGCACTTCTCCAAATATGCTTATTATCTGCATGTATCGGTACATTATCGTTACAATTATTCTTTTTTGTATAGTACATCCACTTCTTTAAATGCCTTTAGCCCTGGAATGTGTAGTGGTTTGTGTCTTGTGTCTTGTTAATTGTATGTTTGGCAGGGAGGACTGTGCCACAATCTCATTGTGCTAGTGTACGAAGTACGACTGTGCAATGACAATAAAGTCTTTTGAATTTGAATTGAAGTGAATTATGATATAAATTGAAATGTTCTTGTTAATCAGGCACCTGCAGAGGAACCAGCAGAGCACAACAATCTGTCATCAGTTAATTTGACTGTTTCTGCAGATGGAGAGAAAAGAGGAGGAGGAGAGGAAGACGACAGCTCAGAGAGAGGAGGAGGAAGAGGAAGAAGGGAAGATGACTACAGCTCAGAGAGAGGAGGAGGAAGAGGAGAAGAGGAAGACGACAGCTCAGAGAGAGGAGGAGAAAGAGGAGGAGAGGAAGACTACAGCTCACAGAGAGGAGGAGGAGGAGGAGGAGGAGGAGGAGGGGGATGAGGATGAGGAGGTGGAGGGGGATGAGGAGGTGGAGGGGGAAGGAGCAGCTGCAGACAGACCTGATGAAGATAAAGATGCTGCTGTGATGAAGAAGAAGATGAAATTCAAAGACTCTAAGTTTGTTCCAGGAATCATTTACCTGGGTCACATTCCTCCGAAGCTCCGCCCCAAACACCTGAGGAACATGTTGTCAGTGCACGGAGAGATCGGACGAGTGTTCCTGCAACCTGAAGGTAAAGTACAAGTACACACACACAAGTAAAAGTTCACACACAAGTACAAGTGCACACATAACCACAGTGACGTATTGATCCGTCAGATACTCACGTAAGGAGGAGGAAGAAGAAGTCTGGCTTGAGGAGGTGTGACTTCACTGAAGGGTGGGTGGAGTTCAGGGATAAACGAGTGGCGAAGAGCGTGGCGGCGTCTCTCCACAACACGCAGATGGGAAACAGGAAACGCCATCGCTTCTCTGCTGACCTCTGGTGCATCAAGGTAACGTCTCTGACATCATCTGGTGACAGCTGTGTCTCAATTCAGCCGCCGCATCCTTCGAAGGACGAGGTCTACGCAGCTGACATCAGGTGCATCCTTCAACAGCCGCGTAGACCGAACCGAGATGAGACGGTCTGGTCTTCCTATTGGGTCACCAGCTTGTCCCAACCTCACAGCTGTTGCCTAGCAACAAAGCGACGGATGTTAGTTATTTTGAAACGTGAACCATTTAACCACGTAACCCACATTTAAAAATAAATTCTTCTGACATTTCCCTCTCGCTTTTTGTTGGAAAACAGTTTGTCACTGAAGCGCAATGAATCATGGGATATGTTGGGGTGGGAAGGATCCGCCCGCTGGAGCCTCAGTGGCTCGGTGGTGGAAGGAGCCTTCGAATTGGTCGTCGCACTGCTGTGAAGTTATACAGCTCCTGAAGGATGAGGCCCCTGAATTGAGAAACAGCTATCATGTGACATCACTCTGACATCACTCTGACATCACTCTGACATCATGTGACATCACTGACATCACATTAGCAGCATGTGACATAACTCAGAGTTTACCCCAAAACATGTTATTGCATTCAACATCTGAGGGGTTAGACCCAAGTCTCTCTACCTGTCTGTCTGTTGACCTGTCTCTCTCCCTGTCTGTTGACCTGCTTCTCTACCTGTCTGTCTGTTGACCTGTCTCTCTACCTGTCTGTCTG